TCCAGCAATGTAAATTATATTCAGACCGGATAATTTGTATGAATTTTATGAGCTAAAACAAATATCTTCAGTTAATAAAAAAAAAAATAATTCTTCACAGGGTAACAGATGGTCGGTCGGTCCCTCCCTCCCCCCCACCCCCCACCAACCGTCCCAAGGAGATGTGTGGGATAACCACTAAATTTTAATAAATAATACCTCAAACTAAAGTTAGGATAATATAATTGACATTGCTGGATTCCTTGTAAGACCAGGAATATTTTGAATATAAATGTCATGTATTTTGCACAAAAGATAACATAGTTAATTTGAGAAAAATTTTTATCTAAAATTTGTATGTCTAATGCAAAAATATGATGTTTATATTCAAAATGATCACCAAATTATAAGAATTCCAGCAATGTAAATTATATTCTGGCCGGGTAATTTGTATGAATTTTATGAGCTAAAACAGGCAGTCAGGCAAGGTGGGGCAAATCTAAAAATAGCATCTCGAGCCGGACACTCACCGCGTATATGTGGAAAAAATCCGTGTTAAGTGAAAGTTCAGCTCTGGCGAGGCACCGCGTATATGATAAAACGTGTTAAGTGAAACCGCGTTAGGCGGGGTAATACTGTACATTCTCAGTTCGAGATATCCTTGGCACTTCATGCTTAGAGTTTCTCAAAAAAAAGTTTAAATAGGTTGTTGGGTAATTCCAATATAGCTAATCAAGTATTAGCAGGTCATAGACCCCAAACTTCTATTCAATATGAGAGCTTGGAATCTTTTTCAACAATTTATCAAGTTAACAACACCAAATTCATTATCGGAAACAGTTATTAGAATTTTTAGAATTTCTGTTCAGAGTTAAAGGCCTTCAAGGATCGGCAATTGCATCTTATAAATCAGCATTGGTTGACCCTCTGGCTTGGGGTTTTAATATTACTTTGAACCCAAGGATTTATCAAATGCGAAGATCGTCCTTTTTCATTCAGAGACCTCCTCGACCCAAGATAATTCCGCCTTGGTCTCTGGAAAAAGTTACTAATCTTCTTATGGGGCCTAATTACAATATAAATCTGAACAGGGATAAATTACTCCAGAAGGCAGCTTTCCTTCTAGCAATAGCAACGGGTATGAGAATCAGTGAACTGATTTCAATTTCCAATAATCCATCATTATTGGTATTTTCCGACGAGGATGTTATCCTTTTTCCTATGGAGATCCTAAGAACAAATGAAAGGGAAGATTTCCAAGCTCAACCTATTAGGATAAAACGTCTAATGGATGAAACTAGGGTTCCTCACATATTGTTGTTAAAAATTTTCAGGAATGGTTAACCAGATTCCTTAATAAGAGGCCCTTATGTTTTCTCATCAAGGGATGGTAAGAAATTATCTCCTAGTCAATTGACAAAATCCTTATCTCAATTAGTGAATCAAGCAGACCCTGGCAAGAAATTTTTGGCACATGACACTAGGAAATATGCAGGGTCTGTGGCATTTCTGCGGCATATGAGTCTAAGTCAGATCAAGGAAATGGGCTTTTGAAGATCTTCAAAAATTTTCAAAGACAGCTATTTTTATCTATCTCGACGAGGTGCTTCAAACGTGGTGGTGCTGGGTTCCCCTCCCCCATCTAGTCAATCTCCACTACCAGGAACTTCTTCCTCATTAGAATAAAGTGAGTATCCTTTTTGAGTAAATTAACATTTTACCTTCCGGTAAATGTTCCTAATTTTGGAAATGTTCAAAACAGTTTATAATATAATCAGGACCTCAGTCAGCGGAGCCTTGTATGCAAAGTCACCTCCCTCTCCTCCTCGGGTATTCTTGCTGACGTCGCATTCAGAGCTTGAACAAAAAGCCGTTTTTTTCTAAAAAACAGTTTTTGTGATATAGCTTGAATGCGACGTCCATAACCCACCCATCTCCACCCCTCGAGAGTTGACTTTTAATTACTGCTCTCTCTGAGGCAAGAGATGCGGTTCGTGATGCGCATAGTGGGGGGTGAAGGAAGGGCTTTGAAAATAACAATTAAATGCCAGGTAGCGACGTGTCCTCCTAATGTTACTTAAGTAATTATTAGATGTTTTAATTGCCTGTATGTTGGCCTGGCGAATTGGCTAGGAATTAACATACCTAGGTAGCATTTGCTGACGTCGCATTCGAGCTATATCACAAAAACTGGTTTTTAGAAAAAAAAGAACGGCTTTTTTAGTGGACCATTTTTTTTTTTTTTACAGGGCACATGTCACTGACCCACATCAGGGTGGGGGACCAAACTGTAATAATAATAATTCATAGCAAATAAAATATTTAATAATACACAAATAAAATAATCAGGATAATAATAATAATAAAATAAAATACCATAATAATAATAATATAAAGCAGGGGTATCAAACTCATGGCCCACGGGCCAAATGTGGCCCTTGGGATGGTCAGGTGTGGCCTGCGGGATGATGGTAAAATTTATCATCCCGTGAAATTATGACAAATAGATATAAGCATGTTTATTTAGTAAAATGAATTTTACATATTTAAGATCAAACAAGCCCAAATGAGATAGTCCTGGTAAGCCAGGAAAGGCAATGTGTGAAGCTGTAAACTTTGATTCTGGAAATATGTGATATAGCACTTGTGTTGGCCCTGAAGAGGGTAACTAAAATTAGAATTGGCCCTCGAAAAGTTTTGAGTTTGACACCACTGATATAAAGAAATACAAGAATGAAAAAAAAAAGATCAAAAGTGAAAACCCAACCTAGACCTATGAATTATTATTATTAGGGTTTATTTTTTATTATAAATTTTATTTACTATGAATTATATGAGAGAGAGAGAGAGATATTATTATTAGGGTTTATTTTTTTTTATAAATCTAGATGTATGATAGTTATTTTGTGGGTCCCTTTTTTCTGACCTGACTTGGCTAGTCACGTCACCTCCCTTCTCTTTAGCTCCTCTACGCGTGTGTTGGTGTGGGGATTAGTGGGTGTCATCATTTTGACCTGACCTCATGTTTTTAGGTCACCCTGTATATTTAAGCCTCTCTCTGTCCATGTAATCCAGTTGCCTCTGAGGATGTCTTGAATAAAGACGAAAGCTAAGGTACTCCGTTGTTTCCATCTTCCCGTGTGATTTTATCAAGATTTATCTTATCCACGTTTTCATTGTGGATTTACATGATATATATATATATATATATATATATATATATATATATATATATATATATATATATATATATATATATATATATATATATATATATATATATATATATATATATATATATATATCGCCCCAAGGATTTTGGATAAGGGATTGTCAACCTGTACCATAAATATATACACATCATTATTTTCGATTCTTGGAATAATTTTACCTGTTTTCTTGAAAATTATGGACGCCATCATTGCTGCAAATTTCCATGGCATTTCATCAGATCCACTAAAATACCAAGACCTTATGACTTTATAATCAAGGCAATGAATCACAACCACTGCCTACATAAGTAACTGCTACAAGTGAAAACAATACTGTGCACATGTGGAGCATCATTTCAATAATCAAATGAATGCTTTAGTATTATCAAATCTGTTTTTTTTTTCCAAGGATATTCTTTTCTTACTCTTTCAGGAGCATGACATCAAGATCCTATAAATCACACACTATAAAACTCCTCACCCAACACTAGAAGCTAAAGGCATCCTTTTTTAATGAACATGTAATTACTTCTGCTAATTACAGTACAGTGGTCCCTCGGTTAACGAGCACAATTCGTTCTAGAAGGTTGCTCGTTAACCGAAAAACTCGTTAATCGAAACCATTGTTTCAATGGGTTTTTGGGTAATTGGTTCCAGCTCAACGAAAATTGCCTAAATTCAACAAAAAAGGTAGACAAGTACACTTACTTTGAGGTGTGTATGTAGAAGGCTCCTGGATGATGATGATGATAAGAATTAGAATGGAGATGGAGGAGAAGGGAGAAGAGAAGGCATTGGGGTGGAAGAGAAGTCACCCCATGGCACCATTTCACCCATAAAATTTTGGTTCTCTTGGTGTGATTCAAGATTATTTTCTTTAAATCAACACTGCACTGCATTATATATTGTTAATATGTAAAATAAATTTCAAAATGACCAATAATTTGCTTGGAAACACAGAAAAAAGCATTAAATTGAAGAGAGTCTCAAGCAAGATGTTACCTCCACTGAAAAGACAGAGACTGACGCCTGTTAGGTGTGTTGACAGGCTGTTTGGCACGCATAAAACTAGTTTCCTGCACTTCAATTATGTTCAATAATTGTTAAAATTACTAAAATAATTAATATTAAACTTTTAAAATTATTGAATAGTATAAACTTTTTGATATTTACTAAAATAGTAAGGAATTTAAGCCCTAGAACTGATTACTGTATTGGCGGACTAATACTACAGCTGGTGGACTGCCAAAAGCAAGCGAAAACATGTTGAGGTCGGCTCGTAAGAAACTCGTTAATCGAGGGATTGCTCGTTAACCGAAGTTAAGAATCTTATGGAAGGTAACTCGTTAACCGAGGCGCTCGTTAACCGAGGGACCACTGTAAGTTTTACTAGAGAACAACGAAATTTCAATAAAAAATGAAGAAAGGTACTTTGATATAAATGGGTTCAGATGGAAGATCCTGTAATGTGTCAGCAAAGAATCTGAAAATGCATTACATATGAATGCTTGTCCTTGCTAACTCTTATACTATCAGAGAGGTGTGCTTTTTCTTACACTTCATTGTAAATTTTACAAATTCAGTACTTTTATTATATTAAAATTTCAAGTCTATATGGATAAGATACATTACTCTAGACTTGTTTAGCTTAACATTTTTTGCACAGCTCTTCCAGCAAACGGTACCAATGAACTAAATGTTCACTGCTTGCCCACTCATCCTTTGTACAAAATTACTAATGCTTACAACTCAAATCAGGAAAATGGTCAATTCCTTTCATTATAATGGTGTTGGTTAATGGAAAGCAGATTATTTTGAAAATTTATATCATGACTGCAACTTTAACTACAGCTTTAAAGTGGTACAGTATAACTTAAGTGCTTAATAACTACAAATACCAAAGTAAACAAGGAGTATCTGTCTTTCAACATGATTAGAAATTGCTTTCTTGGCAATTTTTATATTCCCTTTATTTAAACATTCTAACACAACTGACAGCTTTCATGTCCACAAACAGAAGATAAAAAGTTATTCTAACTCCATACAATTTACTTATGCTATTCAGGGAATGAATGCACTTCAGCTTTCAGTTATCTAGTAAGTATTATCATAATACTCATCTGTATAATGTTATAACTGAAGATGAGATTAAATGATGAAAATTTTTTAAATCCTGTAATCTTGAACAGGTTGTACACTGACAGCTACCTTTAATAATGTATTTATTGGCAGCAAGCAGAGTATTCTGAAAGACTATACATTCTATAGTCTATCTATATATCTACCTAGATAGACTACAGACGCCATAAGAGTGAATGACTGACATAAAATTTACTCAAATTAAATAAATATGAAAATAAAAAATATAATATACACCACTGCAGTATGTTATCAAGTAAGATTTTATAAAATGTTAATGACAAAAATAAAACTGGTCTTACTGAATATATGAAATTACTACTGTTTATGACAACAAAGAAAAAAAATACCGATCTACTTACACAATACATCCTCTCCCTCAACCCAGAGTAATAATCAATAATAATAATAATACAAGTACAGTAATAATACAGCTAGTCATCTGACATGTTAAAATATCACATTTCAGCCATATATCATAGTGCCACTCAGCAACTTAACTAATATTCTGACATAAAATAAGGTTCATGCTTTAAATAATTTTTGAATTATTAAAAGTCCAAAATGAAAAATAAAATGCAGATGCAGTATGTACATAGTTTTTTCTGAACACCATAAAACACTTAACGTACTGTAGTGCTAATCAAACACTTACAGACGTATATACACGTTACACATTTTGGGGAGTGTTTGTGTAAGTTGATTGTGTGGAGTTTGGAGTGTATTTATGTATAAGTTTATGCTTGTGTGCTGATGTGAAATGTAGTGCACTGGTTTTATTAAATTATAATATTTTAATTCCTTGTAATCCATTTCACAATTGATCGAGTGCTTCTGCCGTGTCACAAACTTTATGTTGAATTACAGTTTCTACAAAACACTGTTACTCAAGCCTTCCAAAAAATAATAATTATAAACAAATACATAAAATATCCTTGAATAATTCACAAATTTTCCTCAAATTTCAGATTACTTCAACTTCAGTAGATCAGTTTATAGTTTACAAGTTTGTACAACAGTCAGATCTTCTAACTGGTTTGGCACTGTACATGTTGCCTACCACCATGATGATCGTCATCGTCCTCATCGTATAAGGAGTGATTGTGCCGACGGCTGCGCTGTGACCTATCCATCTCGATTAGCTGGCATTCTTCACTTTCATCTGGTATCATCACCCCAGGCCTACAAAAAGTTAAAATAAATTAATTTGAATATCAAAATAAAAAGGTCAACAGGGGGTCACATTATTACAGTGGTCCCTCGGTTAACGAACACAATTTGTTCCACAGAGTCGTTCGTTAACCGATTCTATTATTTCAATGGGATATTGGGTAATTGGTTCCAACTCACAGAAAAAGTATACATACAAAGTAATGTATACCAGTAATAGAATTAACAAAACATCAAATATAAACTAAATACAGTACAGTGGTCCCTTGGTTAACGAGCACAATCCCTTCTAGAAGAATGCTCGTTAGCCGAAAAACTCGTTAACCGAAACCATTGTTTCAATGGGTTTTTGGGTAATTGGTTCCAGCTCACCGAAAATTGCCTAAATTAAACAAAGAAGGTAGTAAAGTACACTTACTTAGAGGTGTGTATGTAGAAGGCTCCTGGATGATGATGATGATGGGAATTAGAATCGGGGTGGAGGAGAAGGGAGAAGAGAAGGCATTGGGGTGAAAGAGAAGTCACCCCATGGTTCCATTTCACCCATAAAATTTTAGTTCACTTGGTGTAATTCAAGATTATTTTCTTTAAATCAACACTGCACTGCATTATAAATTGTCAATATGTAAAATAAATTTCAAAATGACCAATAATTTGCTTGCAAACACAAAAAAAGCATTTAGTTGAAGAGAGTCTCAAGCAAGATGTTACCTCCACTGAAAAGACAGAGAGACTGGCGCCTGTTTGCTGTGTTGACAGGCTGGATGGCGGGCATATAACTAGTTTCCTTACCTTCAATTATGTTCAATAATTGTTAAAATGACTAAAAAATTTAATATTAAACTTTTAAAATTATTGAATAGTATAAACTTCTTGATATTTACTAAAATGGTAAGGAATATAAGCCCTAGAACCGATTACTGTATTGGCTGACTAATACTACAGCTGGTGGACCGCCAAATGCAAGCGAAAACATGTTGAGGTCAGCTCATAAGAAACTCGTTAATCGAGGGATTGCTCGTTAACCGAAGTTAAGAATCTTATGGAAGGTAACTCGTTAACCGAAATCTCGTTAACCGAGGCGCTCGTTAACCGAGGGACCACTGTACTGTACAGTATACTGTACAATAATAATTAAAAACAATAGAATACTGTATTTTAACTTACTTTGAGGTGTGTATGTCGTATTCCCGGCAGCTTTGTTTACATATCAAACAGCCGATTGTAGAGGCAGTCAATGATGACATGCCATATTCTTTACAGAGCGCACTGGTTCTAATGCCTTCTTCGTGTTTCATAATTTCTGCACTGTATATTATAAATATGTTAACTAGATTTAAGAATGACCAACAATTTTAACGTAAAAATGCTAAAATATTCAAGAGACCAACAAAATCGATGTTCACTCCACTGCAAACAAAGTTAAACTGAGAAGTGTTGTTGGGTGATTCAATCAGCTGATGGGCACACAAAAACTGTTCCCTGTACTGTCTATATTATCAATATGTTAACTTAATTTCAGAATGACCAATAATTTTTATATAAAAAATGCAGAAATATTCAAGTGACCAACTTTCTTGATATTTACTCCACTGGAAACGAATGTAAACATATAACCAATTACTGTATTGGCGGACAAGCCGATCAGCTGATGCACACATCAAGACGTGTTTGTCGTAAGGATTTCGTTAATCGAAATTTTGTTCGTTAATCAAACTGAAAATTCTTATGGGAGCTAATTCGTTAACCGAAATTTCGTTACTCGAACTGTTCGTAAACCGAGGGACCACTATACAGAGTATATGTATTCCAAAAAATGGGGACTTGCAATGAAGTGCTTTATAAGGAGGAATTTTTTCCCCATAAGAATAAATGTAATGATGGGTACATGCATTCCAACATTAAAAGTAATACCCATTGAAATCTTAGAATATCAGCTTACAATGGAGTCATTATAACAATGTACACCCACTAACAAATTATTTGGCCCCCGGTGTCATATTGTATCACGCCGTAAGTGTACCAAATAATTTTTTTCGTGGGTGTACAGTAGGATCTCAAGTTTTGGGAGTTTTAGATTCGCGATTCATATGTTTCACGTCACTTTTAAAATTTCCAGCCTCTCGAGAATAGCAATTTCCATTATCAGTTTCGTGAGTCATTGTTGAGTGGACAGCGAGCATTGTCATGGTCTTTTGTTATCCGCTGATCCGCCAAGCGTTTTTTGTTTATGGCGTAACGGTAGTTAGTTTGAATGAGCGAGCGGTGAAGTGACCTTGGATTATATAACCCATTGTGGTTACGTTTCAAGAAATTCTTGTTTAACTATTAACGATTCTTGTGTATCAGTGATTCTTGTGAATTAACGATTCTTGTGAATTAGCGATGAGTGAAGGACATAAGGTAAATGTCGGGAGCGGTTTTGGTGGTAATGATGGCTGTAGAGAAGGTCAACAAGGAAAGCCTCAAGCCAAGAGTGACTACTGTATGGGGGTCAAGAAGAGGAAATACATCCTTGAAATGAAACGAGAGATGCTTGAAATGATCAAAAGTGGTGCTCGTACCTGTGAAATCATGTGTAGGTTCAACTGCCCTGAATCAACCATACGTTCCCTTAAAAAGAATAAGGAAGCCTAAACTGCTTCTGTGAATATATTCTCAAGATTTTCTAGTAACAGGAAGTTCTCCGATAATTCACAACAAAACCTACTGCTTTTTATCACAGAACATTACCTTCACAAGTGGGTGGAAAGAAGAAACTGTGAGCAAGGCGACCCGTCTGGACCAGATAAGGCATCAAACACGTGTTTATCATGCTGCAGTTGCACAGAGGAAACGTGTTAACTATCCACCACCGTTCAATGCTTCGGTTGGTTGGTTGGCTGCCTTTAAGAAGCGTTTTAAAGTCAAGTTTGCCCACTACCATGGGGAGAGTGCATCGGCTGAAGTCATAGCAGCAGAAAAATATCTACCCTTCTTTCAAGCTCTTGTGAAAGAGGGTGGTTATTACCAAGACCAAATCTTCAATTGTGACCAAACTGGCATTTTCTGGAAGCACTCGCCTAAGACCACTTCCATTGCCAAGGATGAAAAACAGGCAAGGGGTGTAAAGACTTCAAAGGACAGGATTAGTTTTATTCACAGCTAATGCAAGTGGAGATTTCTTGGTGAAACCCCTGGTTGTTAACCGTGCTGCCCGTCCTAGAACCTACTGTCGTGCCAACATGTCACAGCTAATGTTTATTGGACGTTTAGTAAGAAAGTTTGGGTTAAAACGTCTTTATGCACCAATTGGTTTGACAAGCACTTTGTTCCTGATACCCACCAGTACTGCCGGAGGAAGAACATTGACTTTAAAGTGATCCTGGTGATGGATTATGCTCCTGGACACTAAGTTTCTAATTGAACCTTCGCTGCCAACTGTGTCAACACTCGCCTCCCTTCAGCCCTCCCTCATCCTCCTAGCCAGGGTGATGGTGGTTTAGGCTTAAAGTTTTCATCTTATAAAATGCCAGACTAAACTTAGCAGAATATAACTTGAATTGCTGGAATCCTTACAAGACAGCAAATAATTAGAGTATAAACATCACATATTTTGCACAAGTCATAAAAAAAAAATTTCCTATAGTGTTGTACATTTGAGTACAAAGTGAGTACAGTAATATGTTGTTCAAAATTATGGTTCACTGTATGTACAGTATGTGTTTTTAACAACATTCATGTGCCATACCCAAGTTCATCCAGTCTGGTCTAAAATACTAGATGATGCAGACAACGTATATGTGAAACAAATGAAGTATAATGAAAATTTCTTATTAGTTAGCGACATATATCAATACACAGTATCATTTGGTACCACTGTACACCATCCTGCAAGGGTTACCCTTAGTTAAATGGGAAAATGTATGAAAAAAATAAAATAAATAAATAAATAAAATTTTAAAGGCTTCACCTATCTATGAAATCTGAAAGAAAACAAAGAATTAGACTATCACTGAAGGTTATGTATGCCACCATCCTAATATCTTAAGTCAAACAGGAATCATACTCTAATATTGAATGGATACATATTATGTATTAGATATGAGGCACTCCGCATTACAAGGGGGTGAAGCGTCAAATTTAAAAAAAGAAGAAAAATGCATTTAAAGTTTTCCGAAGCTTAAACAACCAAAACTTTGTTTTCTTTTATCATGCAGCTCAATCCCTCTCCTGGCGAACAGTGAAAACTGGTAGTTAGTACTGTGAGTACAGTAAAAGTCCAAAAATCCAGATGCCAGAAATCCGGACCACCCAAGAATCCGAACTTTTCAAAAACTCAAACTTTTTTTTCTTTTAGCGGGCTTTTGTGTATATGTGCGCATGCGTCAGCGCCACAGCTGCACAGCGACAACAAGCGACCATGTGGTCGCCACTTTAAAATGAGCAATCAAACTGTGACAACATACAGGGGTATGTAATTTTGAGTCCTACTCTTTCCATTTACAGAGTACAGTTGTACCCCGCTTTACGCGGTTTCACTTTACGCGATTTCTCATATACGCGGTGCCTCGCCAGAACCGAACTTTCACTTTACGCGGTTCATCTACCCATATACGCGTGAAGTATAATTATATTTTTATTTAGCTCATAAAATTCATACAAATTACCCGGCCAGAATATAATTTACATTGCTGGAATTCTTACAATTTGATGATCATTTTGAATATAAACATCATAGATTTTGCATTAGACATACAAATTTTAGATGTAATGTTTACTCTGAGTAAATATGTTATCTTTTGTGCAAAATATATGACATTTATATTCAAAATGTTCCTGGTCTTACAAGGAATCCAGCAATGTCAATTATATTATCCTAACTTTAGTCTGAGGTATTATTTGTTACTAAAAGTTAAAATTAGTTTTTTCACCCAACATTTCTCTGGTAGGGAGGGAAGGTGGGGGGTGGGGGGAGGGTTGGGACCGACCGACCATCTGGCGCGGTTGGAAGAGGGGGGGAGGCAAGTTGGGGTACTTTGATTGACAGAAGTGTCGTGAAGAATATTTTTTTTTTATTAACTGAAGATATTTGTTTTAGCTCATAAAATTCATACAAATTACTGGACCAGAATATAATTTACATTGCTGGAATTCTTACAATATGATGATCATTTTGAATGTAAACATCATGGATTTTGCATTAGACATACAAATTTTAGATCTAATGTAATAATTTGGTTTACACAAAGCAAGTATTTTATCTTTTGTGCAAAATATATGAAATTTACATTCAAAATATTCCCTGACCTGCAAGGAATCCAGAAATGTCAATTATATTATCCTAACTTTAGTCTGAGGTATTATTTATTACTAAACGTTAAAATCTAGTGTTTCACCCAATCATTTCTCAGAGAGGTAGGGGCCAGTGAGCTGGGAAGAGGGGGGGGGGGGAATTGAGTCTATTATATGAATGGACATTAACCTGGCGACTGTATTTCTCTTAAATATTAATTGTGTGAGCATACCATCATAAAATTTAGATAATATTTTTACTACAACATAGGTATTGTGTCGGAAAAAGTGAAGTTTGGGGGTTGGGCCAGTCTCTATTGGAATTAATCCCATATGTTCTGTTGTTCCATTTACGCGGATTTCACTTAACGCGGTACCCTGTGGGTTCAATTGACAGCGTAAATCGGGGTACTACTGTACTGTACAAGCCCATAATAATGGCTCCTAAAGTACTGTAGATAAACTTCGTTGTGTGAAGAGAAAGAACACGTTGAAATTGAGTGACAAACTTGAAATAATTAAGAAACTAGAACGTGGTGTGAGCAATGCTGTTCTAATGGAAACATACGACATTGGAAAGTCTACAATTTATGATATAAAAAAGGCACAATAAAATTTTAAAATTCACAGCTTTTTCTTTAAAACTGCTCGTTTTGATAAATGAAGCATGCTATATTTGCTAATGAATAAACTATCAAAATGTACCTGTTCATCTCTTCTTTATTCCTCCTTAAATTTGAATTTTAAAAGTACTGCCTGAGAATCCGGAAAATCCGGACCGACCCAATCCCCAAGCAGTCCGGATTTTTGGACTTCTACTTTAGTTATAATTTTATCCCGAGTTGAATGAGCATAACTACCCATCATGTACAGTTGTTTGATCTTCAAACCAACAATAATCGCATTTTTTTTTTTGCAAAATTTTCTTATTATTGTTGGGCTAATATTGTAAAACAAGTTAATGATCACCAAAAACAACACTTGTTCAGCACCCCCCCCCACTCCCAATAAAAAAACTAAACTTTAAATAATAGTAAACTCATTTGCCTATCAGTACTTATTTTTCTGTCCCTATTAATAGCCAAAGATTTATAATATTGTTTAGTATAATAAGTGTGTAATAATAAGGAAACACCACTACACTCACCCCCCACCATTAACCTCTCCCCTCCTCCCCCCAACAGTATTACAACCTTACTTTGTTTAGTGCCTTCGTTTTATTATCCATGAAGATCGTAGTAACTTGAAGTTATGTAAATCCTGAGGAGTGCGTATAACTTTAATGGCCTCGTCATAATCAATCACGTACTGTTCGAAGTCTTTCTCTGCCTTTTCTAAAAATCGCTACTCACTCTCTGAACGGGATGTGACCACCTTTACTTACTGAGCACGCAGCCAGATTTATAGCTCCCTACCTGAGGCGAAATGACACCCTATTTTTTAAGGTCTTTCAACCATTTTTCAAGTCTACCTAGGTGGTTACATCCAATGCCAACATGTAGAGGAAGGGTGAAAATAGTGATATCCATCAAAAGACGCATTTTGCCCAGGGTGGCGCTTTACCCCCTTGTAATGCTGAGCACCTCATAAGTTAAAATCAATTATAATATACAACATATAACCATATACTGAACAAACCAACAAACCTGTGAGTTTAATGATTTAAAACATATTTGATTTGCTATGTTATCAGCTTTGTGAGGGGAAATAATTAAGATAAAAACGAATGTAAATGGTACTAAAGATGGTAACACTCCTCCAGCCAGGAGACTAAGGGGTAAAATGGGTATTATGATACACAAATTCCTCACCTATTAGGTAGAATCTTTTCGAGCCTGGAAATACGATCCAATGGAATATGTGGTGGGAAGTCCACCAAGAATTGAATGAGCAATCGCCCCTTTTCAAATGGATTCTTGTATTGGGGCATACCTTCACCTAATACTGCTTTAACTTCGGCATTCTTTATTACTTCACCTGTTGGAGGATAGAATTGAAAAAATTAACTCGTGTACTACTGTACATGAAGGAGTGAGAATAATTCGGTACAGTGAGATGCATGAATGTGGTAAGCACAACTGTAACAACAAAGCATGGCACCAAGCAGT